GTGTTGTTGCTTCGGCAGCTTGTTGGTTCTGCGTTATCACCTCAAGTGAGGTTGAGGTCGACAGTGTGTTTGGGGTCAAGATCCGAGCCTGCTCCTGGTAGTGTATCCGGGCATCCCTGGTGTCGAGATAAGCATCCAATCGCGCAACACGTGCTATTTCATCGGTCGTAAGGCCGAAGAGAGAAACAACCGAAAATACTTCGAAGTGATATCGTAAATACTGAAGATCCTCTATTGAGAAAGGAAGGTCGGCTGCATCGATATCAGTGTATAGGTCGACTTCAAATCCAAGGACACGAGCTTCTCGTATGTGCTGGAATCTTGCTTTCAATCCTGGGTCTGAGGTCTTCTGAATGATTAGCTCGGCATCAGGACAAATCAGGACTAGATCAATTGTATCCTGACATGCCTTCGGCAAGCCATACAGATCATTGGCCGAATGTTTCTTATGGAATTCTCGCATGTACTCCAAAGCCTCCCCGAGGAATGGTGGGTGCAAATTCCGTCGAATTTTAATCAAAGGTTCTTGTATGGCCGGCGGGGGTAATTTACTTTCGGCCTCCTGCCTGAAATGCTCGAGGCGTGCCTTCATCTCCCCCGGGCGAAGAAGAAGTTTGATCCGTTTATCAGCCTCTTCGAACGTGGTTTCGATATCTCGGTTGACCAGCCGTTTCCCTTGAACCAACTCTGTCATAATAGCTGGAGGTGGTCGTTCATCATCAGTAACAATTGTGTCCTTCAACCGCCATTGAGGAGCCGAAGTTTCTTGGGCCGCTTGTCGGCGGGCCATGCAATCTATCCTTTGGTGCCGGCGTTTCTGGGATTTGGACAGTGCGGTGTAAACGCCTTTCGAAGAATGATATGTATACCAACGTTGATCGCTAGGTTTAGGAGGTTTGAAAGTTTTTTGGCTCCGCGATGACTCCGAACTGCTAGAATTACGTTTATAGTAGTCATCGTCGTAAAATGAAGCATTAAAATCAAGACGTCGCCTGACTGAGGGTGCCTCTTCCATCCTCACTTTGGGACCGAGCCTATCAAAAACCCCTTGATGTTGGCCTACGTCGGCAACCTTCTGCTGGGTTGCGGCCGTAGGTCGTTCCGTTATAAGCGAAGAGGGCTTCTCCTCTGACTCACTGCCGACCTTTGCTCTACATTTACTGCACAAAACCGCTGTCCCACTGTCTTCATCGGTGGTATAATCTATCATAGGTTTGACAATAGCGGGTCCCGTTAAAGCTGTAGGCGGTTTGTGTGAATGAAAATCGGCCATGAAACGTGGCCGAGAACTCTGATTTCGAAAGTGTTGCGTCGCAACATCTTCGGCCTTCCCTTTCCCTTTGTCTTTAGGTAGGCACACATCGACCATATTTACTGTTGCCGTGGGGAACGGGTCAGTATCAACACTCATCTTCTTCTCTGGAATTTCAGTTTGCCATTATCAATCCAGCTTTGGACGTTGTCTCGAAACACGACACAATTGTTTGTCGTGTGTTTGCTTGAATTGTGGTATTTGCAATATATCTTCCCTTTAAGCTCTTCGGCCTTGGGAATGTTGTGCCCAGGCCGAAGTTTGATGATCCTTGCTGATAAGAGTTGATAAAAAATTGCATCGGCTTTTGTAATATCAAATGTATAAACTTTCGACGGTTTCAGTGCTCCTTCAGTAGCCGAGCGGGTTTTGACTTCCTTAGAATCAACTTGAGTCAGTGCCTTGCAGACGTATGGCTTATCTATCACTATCTCAGCTGCATCCACACTAACACATTCATCCTCGGTTGATGCATAACTGACAGTAGGATTCTTGTAAATCGTCCCCCGAGATGGAGTTTTCGAAATCTTTTCCTCGTGGAGCAAATCATCATACTGCTCGACATGCTGTGCTAATTCGTACATATCCCGAAAGTTTACCCCCAAGAATTTCATTTTGTATTCGACGTCAAGACCGTTCAGAGCAAGTCTGACGAATTCAACTTCGGGGAGAGGCACTCGGCACCAATTCCTAGCTGATTTGAATCTAGTAAGATAATCCATTGGTGACTCGTCGGACGCCTGAGCCATCCTTGCTAGTGAGGATACTGACATTTCCATTCCCGGCCGATAAAACTGCTCATGAAATTTCTCGACCAACTTCTCCCAACTCTGGACGGAGTTCGGTGGGAGGTTAATATACCAAGCGAATGCTGAGCCGATCAACGAAAAATTGAAAAGTCGCAGCTTGTGAAAGTCACTATTAACGTATCCGCACTGTGCGGTGAAGCGAGCTACATGTTCTAACGAGGATAAGGACGATTCTCCGGTAAAAAGGCTAAAATCTGGGATCTTGAAACCTCTAGGGTATTCGACCTGTTCCACGTAAGCTGGATACGGGTGTATAAACTTAGGGAACTTCAGCCCTTTCTTCATGGCTGAATCGATCATCCGTTGAACTTCGGTCATATCGACGGGCATTACTTCCGCTCTCTGGTCGGATCCGTCTGACCTACTATTCGACCCTCCTCCTTTTTCCAATTGAAGTGGCCTGAGCCGAGCAGGAATTGGCTCGGCCGGTGCACTTGATAATAGATTATTCCTTGGCGGCAAATGCTGGGCAAGATCGAAAATTCTACCATCGCTGACCTTACTAACCAGTATTTCGAGTAATCTGGTTTGTGCTTCACTGGAAATGCGTATCACGTCATGAAGCTTATCGATTCCTCGACTCAATGTCTGTTCAACTGTCCGAGATTGCTCGTCAAGCCGTTTTCGAATAAACGACCTTGTGGGTGGATCGGATCCTTCGCCACCATTTTCATCACAATCTTCTATTACTCCTTCATTGAGAACGCAAGTGTTCCTGTCGGGAATTTCAAGACTGCGAACCTGACCGCCGAGATTAACTTCCCTCTCTCGGCGAGTTGCGCTCGTAGACTCAGGTGTCACGGCGCTGATGGGATTTTGCGCTTGTGGCACATGGTGTCCTGCGTTCTGATTTGGTAGATCGGATGTCGACTTTCCCATAGTTGTTTTCTTTTTTACCAATCGTGTTTCAATTGGCATGAACTTCGTAGTCTAGCACTGGGTCCCACTGGGCGTGCCAAAATGTTGACCCTAGAAACTACCAAGCCTACGTGGCGCGCAGGTCGAGTAATCTATAAGCTAACTACGTCCTTCGGTGAATGCGGGGCGTGCCAACTCGTCGGCCGAGCTCGGCCGAGGAGTAAATTTTGTTGATGTTGCGTTGGGCGCGCGGCTGACTTCTGCGTCTTGCGATTGCGGCCGAGAAAGGAACACGTCTCGGCCTCTTGGGCTCTCGAACCTGAAGACAAGATTACTATTCTTACGAAGTTCACGAGTCGTCGTCGTCGGATTCAGTCACAGTGATGTTATTCGTCAGAGTAAACTCACGCCGAATCGACACCAGAGTGTAAGGGCACAAATACTCAAAGCAAATATAAGTTTTAATGGTGAACGTGGTTCGGCCGTCCGAATGCCGAACTCTAAATCCCACTTGAGAATATCCAATCATAAAATAACTCGGCAAGCAAAGCGCCGAGCTCGATATATCGTAACACCTCAATTCGCCGAGAAGGCTAATGAGATGACCTCAATCAATAAGGATCCGGAAATCCTCCTTGACAGAGACTTGGATAGGTAATCAACCGTTCTCGCCGCAGTGCTGTTGATGCCAACGGAAGATACTGCGAGATCGACTGATTCTACGGTGACAGAGCTATCTATGCCGACTTAAGATATCACCGGTTGCTTTCACAGTGCTGTTGATGCCAACGGAAGATGTGTCAGCGAAAAAGAAAGAAAAATCTCAAGTTGTTGAGTTTGCGCAGGGCAGTTTTGTATTGATTTGTAGGGGGCTTTGAATGATGCGCATCCTCTTCTATTTATAGCAACGGCTCCCCCCAAGGTCGAGTTAAAAACCTACTCGGACTAGGTCTTCTTCTCCTGATCAGCACCAACTCGACCAGTCCTACTTTCACTAGGATTGTGAACCTAGTCCTTAACCGAGCCGGATTTGCTTCCGGGTCCTGCCGAGACTCCTCATTGCATTAGGACTCGACTTCTTGCATTATGACCTAGCTGACCTAGGTTTGGAGGCCCACGTACTAAACGATCCATGGTATTCTTGTCGCAAGGCCTTCTGGGCCGAGAATGATTCTATACTCGGCCCAAACTATTATTTTGGGCCCAAACAGTAAACTTTATTTTTAAAAGTCTTTTCAGTATGGAAAGGAGTGTAAAAGTGATTGGTAAAACTTTGGTGAAAAAATGATGTAATTGTATACAATGATAAAAATGAACATGATAGTGTGAGTGATAACCACAAGAACAGTAGCTAGGACAATAGTTGTGATGGTGATGTGGTGCTAATAAAGGGGTGTGTTGGTTGGTGAGCTGTAGAGGTAACACTGGTGATAGTGGTGACAACAATAGCAATGATAGTAACAGGATGTAGACGTATGCATTTTCCCTTTAGAAACAAATTAATTTTTCCAGCACACTCCACTTCAAATTTCTCGTTACGTCCTCTTCTTTTCCATCATTAAAAAATGACTTTTTTTTTAATTAAAAAAAAAAACATCAACTCGTACAACGGAGTTTCTCTTAAAAACAGAAAAATATGCCAAAAATAATTGTCTTTTGTAGTCTTTTGTCAACAATGGCGGCTACCTTCGGAAGAAGAGATTTTTCAGTATTTCCGTCACACGAAATGTTACATCATGTATCTTTACATAAATGGTGGGTTACGTATATTAAAAGGTTAATAACTTAAAAATTAAAAGTTTCCACCACTTGCATAAAAACACATGTTGTATCATCCGTGTTCTCGTCACAACTAAAAATTTTCCCTTCGGAAGATCCCAGCAAACTTCCTCATTTTTTTCCCTTTAGTCACTGAGTTATCGTAAACAACTAAAACTTGGCTTTTAAGAAAAGAACAAATACTCCACTCTATATAAAACCATGTCTTTCATTGAGCAGAAACAAAATTAAAACCCTTAACCTTCAAGAGATTCCGTAAACCCTTCGGTCAGAAACGAAGATGATTGGGGGAATGTGGCCTCAAATGGGCTCGGTGATAGCGAGTATGGTGTTCGTTATCACCATATTTCAACGATACCTTCCCCTCCAACTTCGGGACCATGTCGAAGGATACACTCAAAAATTAGTGGGCTTTGTCTACCCTTACATCCAAATCACCTTTGATGAATTCACCGATGATTTCCGCAACCAAAGCGAAATCTATTCCGCTATCCAGAGCTACCTCAGCACAAAATCTTCCACTTTGGAATTTTTGAGTGATTTCAATTGGAGCAGGTTCGTGAATCTGTCAACAAAGTTTTATCAAAATTTCATAATTTTATCCCCAAGCATCTGATCGTGGCAAATTAATTTATGGTCAACGTGCAGTGTTGGCAGATGGGGCTGCAGAGCTTATTTGCGAATTTTGGGCTGGAAGATGATGGATTTTGAACTTGGACTCTTCTTGGAACTTGAAGAGGAGGTCATAATATTTAATTCAAGACGTTTTGGGCCTGATTTGGAGCCATGAAAGTCTAGAAACGTGGCTATTTCTTTGCTGGGCAGATTTCCTAGTCAAAATAAGAATGTAATTCCTAGTTATCTTTTTAATATTTTATTTCCTTATTTTTAGAAAACCTTTTCTATGAGGGTTTTAATTTGGAGTAGTATAAATAAGGCTTTTTAGCCATTAGGAAAGGGGAGGAGAACACGGGCACTACTTTAGAGAGCTTTTGAAGTTTATTTTCAAGGTGTTTCCTTTCCATGTTCTTAATAATATTTTGTTTTATGATTATTCGTAACTAGTTTCTTTTGCTAGGGCGAAGCCTTGAGCCTTAGTAAGAATATGTAGTTTCTTTTCAATTTACTTATGATATTATGCATGCATGTTTTGAATTATTGATCACCGTTTTAAGCCACTACTACAAAAGTGGCTTATTTTGTCGATGACTGGTGTTGGTTTTATATAATATACTGGCGGATAAGACATTTCTGACACCCTCTTTACATGGTGTCGGAATTACTGTCGAGTATAACCGACATAGCTTTTAATCTTTATGAATGGTGGTGTCGCTTAAAAAGAAAATCGTGTCAACATGAAGAATCGTGTCACTTCTACCCGACACTAATAATAATTTTTAAATACTGTAAAACCCAGTGTCGGTTGTAGCCGACACTAATAATTATTTTTTAATATTTTAAAACCCAATGTTGACCCGTTCCGTTCCGTTCCCATTACTTCACTTGACTCTCTCTCTCTCTCTTACGCACACATCAGTTCCCTCACATGGGTTTCTTTCTCTCTTTCTGACACACATGCCTCATTTCTCTCACTTTTTTTTTAACTGGTTCTTTTTCACCCCCTCTCTTTTCCGTCTCCATCACATCTCTCTGCACCCACCCACTCAACCTTCTTTCATCCCTCTCTCTCTTTCCTATTCTCTCTCTCTTTCCTCGATTTCTCCATTTCCCATCCCTCCATCTTCTTCTCTTATGAAAAACCACAAATCAAAACACTACAAACATCTCCCTTTATTCTCCACCACACATCTCCCTTTAGCCTACAACCTGCCAAGTTTTATCCCTTCCTCTACCTCTCCACTGCACATCTCCCTTTATCCCACCAATGCACTTCTCCTTTTCCACGCACAGAGCTTCTGGATCTGCTAAGGACACCAAGCCAAGCCAAGTTCTACATAATGGGTTCCACCACTGTTCATCACGTACCCCAACTAGTTCTCGAGCTCTTGAGTCTTGACTTGGTAAGCCTCCATACTACTCCATTTCATTTCAGTTTCCGTTTTCTAGCTTGGTTTCGAGCTTGCATGTAAACTTAAAACCCACACCGTGGTTGAAAAAATGAATGTGGGTTTTGTTCATTTCGATATGTTCAATGCGAAGAAGATGAGATAATTAGTGTGATTTGGAGATCTTTGTGCTTAGATTGGAAAATGTAGGAAAGCAGAAACGACTTTTTGAATTTTGAGGAAATAATAATTCGTTTTCCCTCCTAAACGAATCGTTTTCATTTCCCCAAAAACTCAGGGAGAATGGAAGCTACGAAAGGCACCAAGGGCGTCGGCGGAAGAAGTCGGTGTCCAAGTTAGTTAAAGCCGACCTCCAATTCCTTTTCGGTTGTATCCCTCGTTTCCTCAAAAAGGGACGCTACGCCCAATGTACTGGTACTAGCGCTCCCATTTACCTCGCCGCCGAGGTAATTTCCCGATCCATATTTCTCAGATATAAACATTTCCTGCTTATATATATTTTTATACTTTGCTAATTATTATTAATAATTGAGATAGATTTTTTTTTAAATATTATTAAAAATTTGTGGTGTCATTTATGGGCGACATTATATTGGTTATTTTATTTTTCTAGGTGTCAATTATGACTGACACTAGTCTGCTCCATCAACAGCTTTTGTCAGTCTCAGTGTCACATTTAACCGACATTACTACCCTTTTTTATTTTATATTGCTTTCTTCTTCATGTCGGATTCTTCATGACGGATTAAGAGGACTAACCGACATCAAAAGCCTTTCGTGATGCTAGCATTGATGTCGGTTCCCCTATCCGACATTGCATGATTTGATGTCGATTTTTTACGAAAAATCCAACATTAATTAGGATTTAGTGTTGGTTTTTGCACCGCTAGTGATAACCTCTTTTGTAGTAGTGAACTATCTAAGTATTTTAGTGATTCGCTACCATTAGGATATTTAGAAAAATAATTTGATGCAATTTTGGTCGGAAGGTTCCCTGAAATTGGCGCTGGCTTCTTGTGGTTAATAATTGTAATTTCATTTAGGATTAACACCACGTCTTAAGGGTTGCATGATTTTTCAAAGGGTTTTCATAAAACTTAATGAGTCTTTCAAGTTCATATTTGATTTGAACATTCGAATGGATTTCATGTTAGATATATGTTCCATGTTGGAGGTTCCAAATAGAATATATCTTAGGAAAACCTAACATTATAAATATGCATGGATAATTCATAAGTAATTGGAAGAACTACGTAGGATTGCTAATGTGACGGATGAACCCTAGGGCTTTAAATTGGTTTCTAGTTGACTTATTTAATTTTTTTTAATTTAAATTCGTTTTTATTATATTAAATTCCAAAATCAATATTTTCAAAACTTTGTTTTAAATAATTAATTAAGAGTTTGTTTTAAACATAAATTATTCATTCAATCCCTGTGGAAAACGATTTTGCTTGAGCTGCTACAATATCTGTTGGCTGATAGAACTTTTAATCTACATTATTGTTGTAGTACTTTACGGAAAATTTTGACTACTATAATCCTGCTTACAACACTAACGTGTTGAATGAAAGATTATGACCTCCTCTTCAAGTTCCAAGAAGAGTCCAAGTCCAAAATCCATCATCTTTCAGCCCAAAAGTCACAAATAAGCTCTGCAGCCCCATCTACTAGCACTGGGCATAAATTAATTCGTCACGATTAGATGCTTACGGATAAAATTATGAAATTTTGACACAACCTTCTTGACAGATTCATGAACCGGCTCCAATTGAAATCACTCAAAAATTCCACCGTTTGATTATTTTATGCTCAGAACAAGTTCGCATGTCCTACATTAAAAACACATAGCAAAACATCAAAATCTCACCAAAATAATAACTAAAATATACCAAGAATAGGAAATAATATATAGTATAAAATCGACTCATGGTGAAGGACAACACTGAGCTGAGGAAGCTACTGATTGACACGTCGAGTAAGTCTATAATTGTGATTGAGGACATTGATTGCTCGCTTGATCTTACCGGACAGCGAAAGAAGAAGAAGGACAAGGATGAAGGGGGCATGGAAGAAAAGGATCCAGTTCGAAATAAGATGGAAGATGAAGAAAACACACAGAGCAAGGTGACTCTTTCAGGGCTGCTAAACTTTATCGATAGGATTTGGTCAGCTTGTGGAGGGGAGAGACTGGTCGTGTTTACGACTAATTATGTGGACAAACTTGATCCTGCGGTCATTAGAAGAGGAAGGATGGACAAGCACATAGAGTTGTCCTACTGCTGCTTCAAAGCATTCAAAGTGCTTGCTAGGAATTATTTGGATTTGGATTCACACGAGTTGTTTGAAACGATTGCGCGTTTGTTGGGCAAAACCAATATGACTCCTGCTGATGTTGCTGAGAACTTGATGCCTAAGTCTGTTATACAGGATGCTGAGTCTTGTTTGAAGAACTTGATCGAAGCGCTTGAGGAGGCAAGAGTGAAGGCCGAGGAAGAAGCGAAATTAAAGTCAGAGGAAGTAGAAAAATTCAAGGCAGAGAGAGAAAAGGAGAAAGACCAGTCTGCTAGTTGAAGAAAAATGTAATGGAACATAAGATGCAACGCGCGAAGAAAACAAAGTGCTTGAAGGTGTAAGAAATATAGTGAAATTATCTGTATAAATTTCAACCTTTCTTAAATTGTGCTTGTACAGCCTGATCAGTGTGTGGTTTTCCTTAATATGTAATAAGAATTATTTTATGTTGTAAGTATGGCACATAAGCGTTTTCGATCATCAAGGACATATGTAACCTGTGCCGCAAGGAAATTGTTCAGAAAAAGCTTTTTACGAACAATTGATCTCTACGATAAAATGTGTGTGTGTAAATACATATATGTCAATTAGAAAGCTCTGCGATGAGTGAAAGAAGATTTTGCACACCGGTTTCTACAGGCAGAATTCATCACCGGAAGAAAGCATGAGTCCAAATGGAAGACTAAAGCGCCGGCCTATACGTAAAATACTAAAAAATGAAAAGAAGAGCGAAAGAAGATTCATCACCGGAAGAAACCATGACACACATTGACATCATTCAGTTATAATGTGTTATAGTTATACCGTGGAAGTTAATATAATGAATCAATGATATCATATTCGCCAACAAAAGAGGTGCATGGTTTTCCCACCAAACATTCTAGTTCAGAGTAACTTTGGGACCATACTAAGAGGCATTTTCTTTGCCACGAACTACAATTCAAACCGAGAGGAACGTACCATGTGACGTTGAACTGAAAGATGATGATGACATCATTGTTATTGACGTCATGGAACTAATAATAATTTCCATTGGCTTGTTAACCTATGGAGCAAGTAAACGAGTCCACGATTCTTCCACGCTAACACACACACACGCACCCCAACTTCTTTGCATTGAGACAATTCCACCAGGCAATTTTTGAACCATAATGTTTAATTATATTAACACAGAATAATCAATGCCGACTCACCGCAAAACCCCTTTCCCATTAAATATATTTTAATTAATCTCATGGATTATGATGTCTGTGATCTTGAGTGAACGACGGTGAAGGACAACACTGAGCTGAGGAAGCGACTGATTGACTCGCCGAATAAGTCTACAATTGTGATTGAGGACATTGATTGCTCGCTTGATCTTACTGGATACAGAAAGATGAAGAAGGAGAAGGACGAGGAGGACAATGAAGAAAAGGATCCAGTTCGAAAAATTAACGAAAATGAAAAAAAGGACCGAGCAAGGTGACTCTTTCGGGGCTGCTAAACTTAATCGATTGGATTTGGCCAGCTTATTGAGGGGAGAGACTGTTCATGTTTACAACTATATATGTGGACACACTTGATGGGCACAAAAAAGTCTCATATCAGATATTCAAAGGATCCTCGAAAAACCTTCACATATATTCCTTCTAGCTCGTGCTGTGTCAGTTGGTATTAGTAGATATTTGCCCTATTTTAATGGCAATCAATTGTGGAAGAAGTAAAACCCTAAGCGACGTTGTTCGTAAAGGAGTACCAAATATTGAAGGGAATGCATTAGAGCAAGTCCACCCCTAAAAAATGCGCCAGCACCCAGCTCATTTAATCCACTCAGTAAACAGTCATAGACCACAATGAACAATAATAGGCTAAATGCATCTCCACCCTAAAAAATGCATTGGCACAAACGATCTTCACCCCTACAAAATGCGCTGGCACCCACCCCATTTAAAATATTATTAATTTTTTTATAAAATAATAAATAAATAAAATAGTTTTAATTTCGGATAGGATTTTTAACCAATTTCATCACGCCATATGTCATTACCCGAAAGTACTATTTTGTGATAGATTTCCGCTAAGATTTTTAACTAATCTCGACGCGTCACGTGTCATTATCTGTTTACAATAATTTAGCCAAGATTTCGATAAGATTTTCAACCAATCTTGTCATGCCACATGTCATTATCCGAACGTACTATTTTGTGGATAAATTTTCAACCAATCTCGACGCACCAAGTGTCACTATCTGTTTACAATAATTTAGCCAAGATTTCGATAAGATTTTCAACCAATCACGTAGTGCCCACGTGTCATTGTCCAAAACCTCATCCTTTTTTTTGTGTCCATATCAACCCTACATCTCTACATCCATCCTCACACCAAACTCAATCCTTCTTTTTATCTCAGAATCCTTCTTCATCATTTTCAAATCTTGAGTTCTTACAATGTCTTCTTCAAGGAGAGCGTATAAACAGTTTGAGGAGCAACAGACAAGATTGTTGGCACAACAGGAAGAATTAGTCAATCTTGAGGAAGGTGGAGGTGAAGATGAGGCTTTCGCAATGGAGAAGGATAAGGATGATGACCATAGAAGGCAGAGGGGCCTCACATTCCCGCCGTGTCATGGAAGTTATGGGTCAGATAGCCAAACCCAAACGTGCCGCAAACTACGATAGAAAAAGGGAAAGACGAGGTAAAGATCTCTTGGAAAATTATTTTATTCTTAACAAGGTATTCCCTGATCATGTTTTTAGATGTCGTTTTAGAATGCAACGAAGTTTGTTGGACAAAATCATGAGTGCTATTTGCAATCATGATCCATACTTTGTGCAAAAAAAGGATGCTTTTCATGTTCTAGGTTTTCTTTATGAGCAAAAAATTACAGCTGCCTTACGAATGGTTGCATATAGAGCATCTACAGATCAAGTGGATAAGATCGCGAGGATGGGAAAAACAACTATTCTAGAGTACCTAATGCGTTTTTGCTCTGCAATTGAAACCCTCTACAATAATGAGTACCTCTGGAAACCCACGCCAAGGGACATGCGAAGGCTTCTGAGGAAGGGTGAGATGCGAGGCTTCCCTGGCATGATTGGAAGTATCGACTGCATGCATTGGACTTGGAAAAACTGTCCAAGTGTATGGCAAGAAGCTTATGGCGACAGAAAAGAAGCCACAAGTATCATTTTGGAAGCAGTGGCTTCATTTGATACATGGATTTGGCATGTTTTTTTTTTTTTTTTTTTTTGTATTCCAGGAGCTCAGAATGACCTAAATGTCCTTGCCTAATCTCCAATGTTCGACGAACTACTGCAAGGAAAAGCGCCGAGATGCACATATTGGGTTAATGGCAATAAATATGACGGAGCATACTACCTTGCAGATAGCATGTACCCAAGGTGGACAACGTTTGTCAAAACAGTGCCACATCCACAGAGTGAAAAAGAAAAACACTTCGCAAAATGTCAAGAGGGATGTAGGAAGAATATGGATCATTGTTTTGGTATCTTGCAAGCTCATTGGGCGATTATTAGGGTTGCTGCTAGAATGTTTGATGTTGAGGCTCTTTGATCCATCATGATGACGTGTATTATTCTCCACAATATGATTGTGGAAGATGAGTATGATTATGATGATGTCGATGAATACAAGCCAGATACGATGAACAACTCAAGAACACGTATCTACTATGCTCATGACCGGACCGAAAATCCCATGCAACACGAGCCGTTGGAACGGGATGAATGTTACAATGAATTGATCATTGAGCGGACACTTCAATGCAAGAGTCATACTGGCATATTAAGCCGCCAGAATGATTTGATTGAGCACCAGTGGGGATTGCAACAAGGTGAAGATAATTAAAATGAGCTTGTGGTTGAAGAATAAAATGTTTTTTTCTTTTAAGTTTATGTAATTTTATTTAGTGTGTTTTTTTTTTTAAGTTTATTTGGTGAGGTTATGTAATTTTATTTGGTGTTTTTTTTTAAATTTATTTGGTATGTTTATGTAATCTTATTTAGTGTGTTTTTTTGGTGTGTTTTTTTTTAAAGTTTATTTGGTGAATCTATATAATCTTATTTAGTGTGTTTTTTTTTTAAGTTTATTTGATGAGGTTATGTAATCTTATTTGATGTGTTTAAATAAAGTTCAAAAAATAAATTTGAAGTTACATAAAGTTTTAAAAATAAATAAGAAATTACATAAAGTACTAATAATAAATAAGAAACTAGCATTTGCTTACACATGTTGTGTATATGAACACATCTTTTTTGGAAAATGAGAAGGAGAGAGAGAGAGAGAGAGAGAGAGGTTTTTGTTTTTTTTTTATTTTTAAATATTAGAGATATTTTAACATCACCTGTAAGTGATGCTCCAATAAAAAATAGTAAAATTTAGACTTATGAAATTAAATTATTGCCCATCATTTTTTTTTTGTGTGATAGAAGACTAAATTGTCTTTTCATCTTATTTTGGTTGACAAAGAGGGTTTCATTAATTAGTAGAGATTACACAAAATACTAATAATAAATAAGAAATTACACAAAGTACTAATAATAAATAAGAAATTACATAAAGTACTACCAATAAATAATAAATTACATAAAGTACTAAAAATAAATAAGAAATTACATCTATTAATAAAAATAAATAAGAAATTACATAAAGTACTAAAAATTAAGACGAAATTAAATAAAGTACTACAAATAAATACAAAATTATACAAAAATTTTATAGATTTTTTTTTAATTTTTTATGTATTTTTTTAACAATTTTTAGTAATTTTTTTTTATAAATTTAATTTAGTTAATTAATCTGGACCGTTGGATTAGAAAAAGATTCAAATCCAACAGCCTATACGTTGACACGTGGCCAACTGTCATAATTCTGACCGTTGTGCCTTCTTTTTTTTGGGGGGGGGGAGGGGGGAACGTGGACTGTTGATCTCTGGATCGGAAGGTCCAAATCAAGCCACATCACTAGTCGTTGGATGTCAAATTCAAAATTTTTAACCGTTGGAAATCCAACGGCCTAGGACGGGCCACATGGCCTCCCCATTTGTTCGCAAAGTGCCCCTACGCATGCGGGCCCCGTGCTCTAAATTCTTGTTAGCGACATTCACCCAATCGCAGGTGCTTCCCATGCACTTGGTGCAAAAAAAAATTCAAATGCCCTCCGACGCCACGCTGGCATCAGCATGGCGTCAAATGGGCCGTCGCATGGGTCTGTCGATTATAGGCCGCTTATGGCCTGACTTGGGCTGAGGTGGAGCAAAAAAAGAGGAGGCCTGTCCATTTTTCAAGTTGGGTGCCAGCCTAATAGTATGAGGTGGAATTGCTCTTATAGGATTTGCCCCTGGCCAACTTCATCAATCTTTCATGGAGGATATTCATTATTTCAAAGATTGTGAGTGTATTAAGAGATTTCTCCTATAGATTGAAGATGTTGAGTTGTTCTTGAAATTATGGATTAGGAATACTGCTAAAATATCATGGAAAAGTATAAAGAAAGCCCGTTAACAAGGCAAATCAGAAGTCAACACAGGGAGGA